TGTCTGGCAAGATCTGCTTGTCCAATTTGAAAATACAGAGAAGATATGCCCTCTACAACCTGTTTTGCCCCAGTCTGAACATGGTAATGGTTTGCCCCTAATTAACCAGTTATGGAGAATAGCCTAACCTTTGGAAGTTAAGCTTTGATGTGCTCTCAGATGACTTGCCCCTGATTGAGCTTTTGAGAGAGTTGCCCTTGATTGAGGGTTTTGAGGTAGGCTGTATTTGAGTCGACACCACTGGAAGTTCATGTTCCTCTTTGATTGCCCCTTGTTGGAATTTCTTTAATGTCCAGAACTGATTTGCATATAAAATTGCACATTCACAAATGGTAATCGTAATGTAATGCTCATGCAAGTTTTGAAAAAAAGTCGTTTACTGAAGTGATAATGTGAGACGGATGGACCGTTAGTCCAGACGTCGTGCTGACTTAGCTAGTGTGTGAAAGATATAGCAAGGAGAATGACATCAATGCTGATGATTGGCAAATATGTGGAGATATAACAAGATGTATAACTGATGCAATGCAATGACATATAGGGATGCAATGCAAGATGTAAGATCCAGGATCACAAATTTTGAGGTTGGTTACTATAACAGGTAGATAACCCTAGTCTCTGATCAAAGAAACCTTATAGGTAAGCTTTATAAGGAAAGATCTAGATTCCTTACCCATAAAACCACTCACGAGATGGTTTATACGTTGATGAATAAGGTTCCCAGGATCACGGACACTGATCACATAAATGTCACGCAACAGGCTAGTTGCATTACAACGATAATGACGACAAGGTCTCTCCTGAGCGGGATCCTCATGCTAGGAATACAAGGAGCGAATTCTTAGAGACTAACACTACACGACCACCAATATAGAACCGGTGCTAAAAGGTTCCCAGAATCACGGACCTTTCATGAATCAAGTCATGTAACAGGCTAGCTGTGTTACAACAAGATCTATGAATAGATTTCCTCTAGGGGGAGCTTTCATGCTAGGCACACAAGGAACGAGTCCTTGGGGACTAACACTACTCGACTACCAATTCTAAGCTATATGCTCCCTATTCTTTTACCAAAGCTCGTGCCTAGAGGTTTACTCATGATATCATCCCAAGATCCAGCAGGCAAGCATGATAAAGAGAAAGCAATAAGAAAACAAATACATAAACGAGAAGAAAACAAGCAAACGAAGATAATCCTAAGTTAGGCTTGTATCTCTCTTGCATGGAGAAAATTCCCCAGCAGAGTCGCCAGCTGTCGCACCTAAAAAAATCATATAATCGAGAAATACGACGCTCGTGCAAAAGGCACGGAAAACGGTTTGGCAAAGTCGCCACCGAACTTTATTTATCCCAAAAGAGGGAAAGGAAAATATCTAGAAAACCTTTAAAGGAGATAATAACATGGTCGTCACAACCATATTCTGGGTTCAAGAGTCGGTTACGTAAGAGGAAGGTATTAACACCCCTTACGTCCGTTGTACTCAACAGGAACCTCTTAGGTCAATTTGTGATGAGCGTTATCTAAGCTTGTATGTTTTCTTCTCAATGATAAATGCGAAACTGTATGGTAAAAAGGATGAGAATAAGAAATGAGAAATCAGAGCGCTTCTAGTTCGACTACGGAAAAGGTTTGGAAAAGGGAAGGCGAAGGTTGACGAGAAATGATGGAAAAAGAAAAAGGTAGACACAAACGGATGGAAAAAAGAAAAGTTAGATGCAAACGGATGGAAAAAAGAAAAAGGTAGCTCGCCAAGATCATCACAATCTTGTGCCTACGTATCTTCATTCGAACGAGAATGAAGAATCAGAGCGTCCATAGTTCGTGGAGACGACCACAAAATAAAGAGGCTGATGTGTTGAAGTTTGGTTTGAAAATGAAATATTGAATGACAAACAACCCAATGGGCGGACCTCGAGAGCAGTCACTCAAGAATCCAAAGAATGTGATACTCTAAGAACTCAGTTCTTTCTAGAGTTGATTGGAAATGTTGAGAAAGGTTGAATGTTTTGAGAGTTGAAAGCTTGAATGAACAACAAGCCAAAGGTGTGCCTCGAGAGACATTCACTCGAAGATCCAAGGAATGCTAGACTCCAAGAATCTTCTTCTTAATTTAAACCAAAATGAACCATGCCGAATGAAACTTGAATTTCCATGTTGATACCACACTTGTATTGAAGCTAAGAATCACTTGCAATCAATTTCATCCTCTTGAATTCTTCATTTTAAAAACCATATTAAGATAAATGAAATTAGGCATTGAATTAATTCTTGGATAACATGAAGATCCACAGATGAAACAATTTTGAATTTAGCCATTTGAACTTGAATTATTGAACCAAACTTTTCATCATGAACCAAGTGCTCAGGAAAATGTCTTGAAATTAGAGGAATATGACTTAAAATATGAATTGCATTATCCAAAACCTTAACTGCAAATGTATTGATATTTGTTGATCCTCAATCATGAAACATCTGAACTTAGCACAACCTGATAACTTGATGAATCAACATAAAACCGTAATTGGAACCTCAAACACCAATCACTTGACTTGTGCTCACCCTAGCCTTGATCATGAAACAAACCCTTGCTTGACTAACAAATCAGGTCAAAACCATTGAACCTCAATCAAACTGCCTACATTTCTGACTAGATACCCTCAAATGAAGCGCAGACTTAGGCAATAGGAAAATAACATATTTTTGGATTTTTTGGATAATTGTCAGTGGATGGATGTACAGATGAAAATGATATACAAGTAGGACAAATTTGGGGTATGACAGATATAAGCTCCAAAACTTTCTAGAGACGCATCTCTGAAATATTTTAGCATTAAATTAGAATTAAATACGTCCAGAGATGCATCTCCGAAATCAGAGAACATTTTAACATTTTTACGTGGTGCTTAAGTAAGATATAAAGTGCATTAAGAAAGAAAATTTCTTAATTCACCCCTTGATACTCTTAGGTACCTAACAAATTTCCTTTTATGCCCCCTGTTTTCGGAGATACATGTTCGGAAGCACAATTTTTTTAAACCAAAATTTGGTTTTTTCCGGAGGTACATCTTCAGAATCATTTTAAACTGGTAAACGTTGGAAAAAACTTCAAAATAATTCAGTTCAGAAAAACTTCCGTAGATGCACCTCCGGAACGTCTAAGACGCCAGAATGTTTCACATGAGACTAGTCGACCAACACATTATCATGTGCTGTATGATGAAAATAAATTCACTGCAAATCAGCTACAAAGTTTGACTAATAACTTATGCTACACGTAATGATATCATTTATTATTTAGTCTCGTATAATGTCTTATAAACTTCTACTTTTTCATTTAAATCTAGAAGCCTTCTAATACTGTTTTTTTTTCATTCAGTTATGCGAGGTGTACTCGATCTGTCTTAATAGGTTTGTTACTCGATTTCCTTTGTTTGTTTTGTTGTCGACTATACAACTTTATTTTAACTAAAATGCCATCTTGTATGCAGTTCCTTCTGCTTATTATGCACACTTGCTAGTTTTCTGCGCTCGATACTACATAAGTGAAGTCAAAAATTATGATTTTGGTTCTGTAAGTAGTAATATGAGTACCACCAACTTTGCATCGACTTTGTTGTTGTCTATCTTGGATAATGTCAAAGAAGTAATATTTTACTGTTGATCTTGATTTGTCCTACAAGTTTCGAGGATAGATTTGGCAGTTCAGATATTCACAATGTCCTTTTTTGGATATATAACTTATGCTATTCTGTTTTTTTGGTTGGGCCTTATTTTGTTTGAATACAACTTATAACTACTAGACAACTTTTGGTTACAGGTCATGTTTGCCACCATGGGTGGATGACCGTTATTTTGTTTAAATATAGGTTAGAACTACTAGACAACTTTTGGATACAGAACATGTGACCACCATGCGTTTTGATAAATATTTGGAAGTTATCATCATAAGATGTCTACCATATCTCACACTCGTGTTGAGAGTTTAGATAAACAATATTAAAATATATGAAAGAATTAGTCAATTTTAATTTTATTTGCATGCTGTGAAGTATGCTTTTATTTAACTTTTTATGGCATTGTTAATATTTGTTGCTCTAACTTCTGTCATAGGAGTAAAGAAAGATCTGAGCAGACAATTGGTTGATAAAAGTATTTTTTTTCTTTATTATGAACTAGCGTCTTATGCCCGTCTGTCCGCTTTTTTAATGTTCAAACGTTTAAAAATATAAACGTATTTTTTGTGTGTTTATTTTTTTAAAATTTAAATTTTATATTAAAAATTAAACAAAATAGTTGTGCAAATTAACGAATAACAGTTAATAAAAAAGAAGTTGATAATAGAGAAGTTGAATTTTAAAATAAAAAACAAAATGATATAATTGGAATAAAATTAGGCTACACCAAATCCAAATTTGCCCTTTATATATGTTATAGATTATAAATAATTATAGCCGAAATTGTTTTAAATTAATAGAAATTCTATTCTGATTAAAAAAAAATTATAGCCGAAAGGTGCGTCCGTAAATACGCATACGAAAATATATTTAGCCGACGACATTTGTTTTGATTCGTTTTGAATTTTTGTATAATCTTCCATAAATACACATACGAAAATATTTCATAGATGCATCTACCGAATTAATTAAAAAAAAATTAAAAAAAATACGTTCGGAGATATATCTCTAAAAATAAAAGAGTAATTTTGAAAGCGCACATAATATCTAACAAGATTTGGTGTGATAAAATATCCTCTTGAAAAATACTCATATAGCAAAGCCCACGTTCACTTTTATATAGGTTCGAAATTGGATTCGGGCTAAGAAACCAAAGCACACTCTACAATTACTTATTACACTTCCCTTTGCCATTCTCTTCACTACCTCACCGGGTTTTTATTTCCCCCACTCGCACCTTAGAGACCAACTCGGCGTTGCCGACTCACCACTTCCAACTATAAAACCCTAACTCTGATCGGTAAACTCAATCAATTTCGTACGCCATGGCTTCCGGTACACGCCCTTTTCTTCTTTCGTTTCCTCGTAGTAGCGTTTTCCTTCTGTTCGTTTTAGTTCTGAAGCTTAATCGATTTTTTAATATATTTCTGCATATTTTTTTCTCGATTGAAGAAACTTTGAATTTGAATAACGCTTTGTTCATGTGCGTGATTTATTCTATGGAAACTATTGAACTGAACACTTTAGGTTTCGTGATTTTATTCAGTAGTGACGCAATTGAACGCAAACTCTGTAACCCTAGAGTGTTTAAGTGAGTCGGTAATACTTGATGTCAATGTGTTGCCGACGTTCATTTACTTGTGGGTTTTATGAGGAGATAATGCAGCTGATATGAGTGAAATGAGTTTTTTTAATTTTTTTTTGTATGTATTTGTTCAGTTCAATGTTCTTGTGGGTTCTATGAGGAGATAATGCAACTGATTATTGTTAGTTTGATATGCATCTATGTAGCAGCACCGACACCTCTGAAAAGTGGCGCCGACATAGACACATACACCGTGTGATTACCTTTAATTTATTCATTTTCAAATTATTACCGATGTTGCTGTGTCAGTGTGTCGTATAAGGGGTGTCTGTGCTTCATAGATATGCATAAACATTATGCCATAAATCCAATGATCTGAAATCCTCCTATTGTGAAAGAAAGAATACTTCCGTAGGTACTTAGAAGGGGATTTTTTAATAAGTTGGCAGCTAGTTATGCTTCTTTGAAATATTCATATTTAAAGGCATCAAAATCAAAGCATTACATAATAGTATGTTTCAGTTTACCAACTGACCTAAACACATTAAGTGGTTACATTGCATCTCTTATTCTGTAGATGCTGATATGGAGGACTATGGATTTGAGTACTCTGATGAGGAACAAGAAGAACAAGATGTTGATATCGAGAATCAATATTACAATTCAAAAGGTATTTTCAACAACTACTATTTTTTTACATCTATGAATTGAATTTGGTTTATTTTTGGGATTTCAAAGTTATGTTCTATAACTTAAGATTGTGTAGCTTGCTTACTAAATAGTTCCATTCAAATTTCCATCATTGTATTATTTTATAAACAATTATTTGAGTGCAGTTTTTTATGATAAACATCATGGCTGGAATCTACAAAATTTGATTCATTATCTAGTTGATTTAGATTTTAGGAGACCATGTTTCTTCATTGTCAAACTAAAATTAAAATGGAACGTCTTAGATAATTTCTTATATTAAATTTGTCTTGCAATGTTTTGAGATTTGATTTTTCTTAATTTGTGGTTCAAGACTGGTTGGTTTGTATTTTATATTGATCTCTTAGGACAATGTTCTGCTTGTTTACAGGTTTGGTTGAAACTGATCCAGAAGGTGCACTTTCTGGGTTTTCCGAGGTAGTCGGCATGGAACAAGACAAAGCAGAATGGTAATAACTCTTGTCTCTAGTACTTCATCATAAAATAGATATGGAGGCTGAAGTTAGTGAACTTAAACGTGTGTAATTTGTATTTTTGCTCTAGTATTCTTCTATGCCATTATTGATGTCACGGTCTGTTATTGCTTGTGTTTATTTTTTTTATTTTTCAAAATAAGAATGTTTCTCTTTCTTTTAAATTCGGGGAAACAAGGCTAGACAAGATACAATTAGAAATAACAAAATTTGTGAAAGTGTTGGGGTAGCACTTATAGATGAAAAGATGGTGGAAATTAGACTTTGGTGTTTTGAGCATGTAGAGAGAATACATGTAGATTCTCTTGTAAGAAGAGTAGACCAGATGAAGAGGAGTCAAACAATTAGATGTAGAGCAAGACTTGGAAAAATCATAAGAGAAACTATAAAGATCTCAAGATTAATGAATTGGATAGAAACATGGTCTTTGATAATTCATTATGCCGTAATTTGATCCATGTGGCTGACCCCACTTAATGAGATAAGGCTTGGTTGTTGTTGTTTCTTGTTCATATTCTTATTCATGTACCGCACAGTGGTGTTGTCTTAAAATCTTTGTACAATGATAATAAACCAATTTATATCTCATGCCATATTTATTATACTTGTTACCAGGGGATTTAAAGCTCTGAAGCAAACTGTCAAGCTTTATTATAGACTTGGAAGATATAAAGAGATGATGGAAGCCTACAGGGAGATGTTGACATATATCAAATCAGCAGTGACCCGTAACTATAGTGAAAAATGCATAAACAGCATTATGGACTATGTGTCTGGTTCGGCTAGCCAGAATTTTGGCCTTCTGCAGGAGTTCTACCAAACAACTCTTAGAGCTCTTGAAGAAGCAAAGAATGAGGTTAATCCATTTTGACATTATCTTCTACTCATGTTTCTCCTATTATTGTGGTTCTATGTTTAATTTTTGCCACTCATTTTGCAGAGATTGTGGTTTAAGACAAATTTGAAGCTGTGTAAGATTTTCTTTGACATTGGGGAATATGGACGGATGAGTAAGGTAACATGTTTTTTTTTTTTTGGGGGGGGGGGGGGGGGGGGGGATAATATATCTTACTTTCAGACCTAAGTTAAATGACTCTTTGTATCTACTAGTATTAAATAGATAGTGATTTGCTGTACTGTCAGATCCTTAAGGAACTTCACAAATCTTGTCAAAGAGAGGATGGTACAGATGACCATAAGAAAGGAACTCAACTTTTGGAGGTTTATGCAATTGAAATTCAAATGTACACAGAGACCAAGAACAACAAAAAACTCAAGGTTGGCATTTGCTATAGGAAATAGTTTTTCATGTTACTTGCATGAGTAGTGATGCTCCTTTTCAGTTTATTAGTGGCTTTTTAGAATTCAGCTTCTAACCATTTATAAGGTGTTTCATATTGTTTGTGGATAAGCAAGATTTCTGAGCGCATCTCTTAGAGTTAGTTTCATTTTCTAAGAACTGTTTATTTCTAGAAAATGAAGTTTTCTTAAAGCTCATTGACAAATAACTGAAATAAGTACTTTGCCTGTATTTGAGGTTATGATTGACACATATTTGTATATCTGCTTATTTTATTGGAAGATAGAAAATAGTGTAGAAATTTTAGATTGACGAAGATATAAAAATTTCCCCACTAAATGTATTTTCTTTTGGTTCATCTTTGAAAAGGAGGGGAATGCTATTATGCATGCTAATTTCATTAGATCCGAAAACACATCCAACCAAGCTCATATTATTATGTGAAAACAAGACTGTTGGTGTAATGTAGTGCACGCGTCGGATCCATGACCTTTTGAATTCTTTTATTGATTGGTTGATTTGTCGAATGATTAGGGAACTTTGTTCACCAGAATTTGTCAATGTTCGTGATATTTGTTGGAATATCTAAATATTAAAAATATTTTCATAATTATGTCACTACTTTCAGAGTATTTTAGATCATTCTAGATGATTACTTGGAAATATTTCCTTATTTTATGGTTTATGTCCTAGCATAATTATAATCAAGAGTCTAAATGTTAGTATATGTAGAGGTTAGTGCTCAGCTGAGTCACATTTATATTATTTTTGTAGGTTTACTCATAACAAGTTTAAACCTTACTAAGCTTTAGGCTTAAAGGGAAGTGTTAGGTTTCATGATATCATAGTTGTATCTTAAAACATTTTAGACTATCTTAGATGGTTTCATCAGAATGCCTTCACTTCTATTATTTTTTTATGTATTTCATGAGTTGTTTCCTTAATTAGGACATGAATCTACTACTTCCACCCCTTTGGCAAAATCATGAGAATTAAGTTGTAAGTGATATTAAATTTGTTGGCAATTGATAATGTTAAATAAATAGGTGTATTTTGGTAATGAAAAATGCATTTGAAATCATAAAGAGGGCCAGAGTAGTCAATAGCGGCCAGTAGCGACGCTATTCCGCTATAGCGGAGAAGGAGGCTGAGCGCTATGGGAAGAGGCTTAGCGGTGCAGATCACTATAGCGACCACTATAGGGTTAATAGCGGGATAGAGAAGCAGAGTGGTTCCCGGCCCGGAGCAGTTTCTGGTTTGCTATCCTTTTCCCCTCTAAAAAACTGAAATTATCCTTAAATTTACAATGTTAAGGGTAATTTTGTGATTTTAATCTAATTTGAGTTGAGACTCAATCTTAATCTTTCATATTTGTTTATGCACTTCAGGAGTCATGTGTGCTTTGATTTATGAATATTTTTTGAGTTGAGTTGTTTGTTTAATTTTACATTAAATATATGTTTTTACTTATTATATGTAATTTGTCCAAAAAATGATCAAATAGAGCGGTGGTCCTGCCACACGCTATCCCGCTATCCTACTTTTGTGGGCGGCTGCTTCGCGCCGCTATTCCGGAATGACTACTCTGGGTCTTATAAAAAGTGACAATTTTTTCTCAAGAGGGTCTTATTTTTGGGGTAGGGACGGAGGTAGTAGTAATTATATCAAAGGGGTTGATGCTTTTTCTTTTATAAGACATCACACACCAAATATAATTTTTTTTAATGTTCCATTTCCCCTCCCTTCCTACCGAAAACCTTATAGTTTCAACTATATTGAATGCAGCAACTTTACCAGAAAGCACTTACTATTAAGTCTGCAATTCCCCATCCAAGGATAATGGGGATAATCCATGAATGTGGGGGTAAAATGCACATGGCAGAGCGCCAGTGGGCTGAAGCAGCTACGGATTTCTTTGAAGCTTTCAAGAATTATGATGAAGCTGGGAACCAGAGGCGTATCCAATGCTTGAAGTAAGCAACCCAATTTTCTTTTAGCTTTTGTTACTACACATTTCAATTTTTTAATAATTTTTATAATGACATACTCATACCTCTGCATTTTACATTGGTAATTCCCAAAAATATGATTAAATGTGAATTGTCATTTTAGTTATAATTTTCATGAAGATAGATGATATTTTTATCGTTTAAATGCATAATGTGTATTATCAATATCAATTTCAGTGATAATTTTATAAAGATACTATACTTATCTTTAAACTACATATTGTTTTCCTTAGACTACGTCAAAATAAATCATTCAATCATGTATTTTAGATCTTCAACCATAGTTGTAAATGTGCTGCTGTGTATTAGGTACCTCGTTCTTGCCAACATGTTGATGGAGTCTGAAGTAAATCCATTTGATGGGCAGGAAGCTAAGCCGTAAGCCCTTTGATTTTGTTCATCTGTACTCCACTTTTCGGTTATCTCATTCCTTGATTTAGTCCCTCTAAGTTGATGATGGTTCTCCCTCTTTTTCTTGTTTTTACCCAACATATTATTTATTGCAGATACAAGAATGACCCTGAGATATTGGCAATGACAAATCTCATAGCAGCCTATCAACGGAATGAAATATTGGAATTTGAGAAAATCCTGAAGGTACTTTTATTGAGTCTAGCACGATAGCGTGTTTTCTCCAGTTTGACCTCAACATATTTATCTTATTTTTCTACCCAATATTTGTTGGAAATGGATATTGAATATTTTTCTTTCCAGAGTAACAGACGAACCATCATGGATGATCCATTTATCAGAAATTACATTGAGGATTTGCTAAAGAATATCAGAACACAGGTCCTGCTGAAACTCATCAAACCATATACAAGAATCAGGATCCCATTTATATCTAAGGTAGATAGCACTTACAGTAATACTGCATAATGCCTTTCAACTTCAAATCTCAGCTTACCCTTGCCCCAGCTCATCAAACAAATTAATGGAATGAAGAAACGGAGAATAATAGTTAAATACACCTTTTCCTATAAAAATTATCCACTTATGATTTGACAGCTATTCCCTATTGGTTTAAGGGTTTGGTGGTGTGTTTGTTAGGAGCCTGCTGCTCATTGTGAATTAAATAAACCGAACATTTTTTTGCTGGTTTAGAGCCTGCTACTCATTACTGCTTATGTTTTTCCTTTTAATTACCTTGTAATGATGGTTAGGTTGACTTGCCTTTGCCTTTTCCTTTCATTAGTAGTAATATTTGTTTATTGAGTTGAATTTGTGAGGCACATGAATTATAATTAATCTAATACTTTGTGCAATAAAACAATTAATTCGCAGGAACTTAATGTACCTGAGCATGATGTTGAGCAGCTACTGGTGTCACTTATTTTGGATAACAGAATTCAAGGACACATTGATCAAGTGAATCGGCTCTTGGAACGCTCTGATAAGTCAGTTTATGTGTTTTAATTCCTCTCAACTGGATTTGGTCCCTTAATTATTGTGTATTTAAAACCTGGTATTTTATTAATGTTAAAAAACAATTTTCAGGTCGAAAGGAATGAAGAAGTATACAGCTGTGGACAAATGGAATACACAACTTAAATCTCTTTATCAAACTATCAACAACAGAGTTGGTTAAATCATAGTGCGGGTGTTGAGGATGATCTATTTTGTTGCCCTGGCTTGCAGTTTTGTCATGTGAATTATTATAAAATAGGCTGTATGTGAATTATTACACTGGTGGAACAAAGTGAAAAACCAACTTGTGATTCTTGTTTTACTTCATGAAATTATAATCATTTGAAATTGTTGACTGATCATAAATATCATTTAGTCCCCCTTTCTCTTAATCTCTCCTATTAATAGAGATTCATAATTAGCAGCTTAGGTGGATCGATTCGAACTTAAAATTTAGGTTTCTGCATACTATTTTCTCATGTCTCTTACATTTGAGTTCCTAGTAAATATTATATGAGAAATTATTCCTATTCAGTCCAGGTTGTTCAAATTTGTACAGGAGCATTTTAGTTGGACCATTTTTCTTTTTTGTATATGGTTTTAGCTGTTTGGGGGCACTTAACTATTGTGAATATTACTTAGTGTACAAAGTAGCAGCACTATTGTTGACCTAAAAGCATTAGACACAAGATCCTGTCGCATGGGAGGTCATTTGACCTCACCCGAATCCCATCAACTCCCTTTCTTCGAAATATCCATTTGTTTCCCACCCGGTTGGTCGCAATTGATTGTAGCTGAGTCTCCGCATTTTAGTCGGCCCCTCCTATTTCTGTTATACCATGGGTTGGCTTATGGATTTGTGCGAGCTATCCCTTGAATTATTTTTGTGCTTTTGGTCATTCTTTCTTAGTCTTCTAAGTCATTTTCCAACCATGATGAAATTTTTATCTCGTGTTTTTGGGGACCCGAAAAGATAATTTTTGGTTTGAAGATTGTTTTTAGGGACCCCAAAAGATAATTTTTGGTTCTAATTTTTAGACAATAATCCCTTTTTTTTTTAAAAACAAGGTAATATATTAAAAGAGTACAAAGGGTACTCTAACTTGATTACAAAAGACGGACAAAAAGTTCCTACAACAAGAAATTAAAGATTAATTGAAACTAAAACTAAAAAATGCAAAAGATCTTTGCAAAAATCGTAAAAGTTACAATTGGGGTAACTAATATCTCCTATAAGAGCTATTAAAAAGTGAAGAGAGAGAGTTTCATGATTGTAACAAATTACATTTTTATGTTATTGATTGAATGAATTCAGTTACACTAGAGTTCTCTTTTTATATAACAATAGCACTGACCTGCATAACAGGTTAAAACTAACTCTATGACTTGTCACAACAGGTTTTGCTAAACAAAGCTAACCTGCAGTAGCAGGTTCTAACTAACAGAAAACCTATAGTAACAGGTTAAAACAAACTACTCAGACTGGCACTTGTCAGTTCTGAGTTATACAAAGATGCTATACTCTAATACCCCCCCCTCCCCCCCCCCCCACACACACACATAAACTCAAGGGAGTGTCTCACGTTGAGCTTGTGCCTGAACTCAAGAAACCTTGTAGAGGGAAGAGGTTTTGTGAGTGTATCTGCCCACTGGTCAATGCCTAGAGTATGAGTGATGGACAACTGCTTGGACATGACTTTTTCCCGGACAAAAAACAAATCAATTTCCATGTGTTTTGTTCTGGAGTGGAGGATAGGATTGTGCCAGTAATACTGCAGATTGGTTATCACAAAGTACCAAAGGAGTAAGGTCTGCAGCCACAGAAGATCAACAGTGGCTTGAGCTAGACTTTTATACTCAGCTTCTATGCTAGATCTGGCCACCACAGGCTGTTTCTTAAACCACCAAGAGATGAGATTAGCACCAAAATAAATGGCAGCTCCTGATGTACTTCTTTTGTCATCAGGATCAGTAGCCCAGTCTGTATCACACAAGACATGTAGAGAAGGTGAAGAGGATGGAAAGATAGCTGAAATCAAGAGCCCATGACCAATAGCCCTTGAGATATCTGAGAATTCTCTTAACAACAACCCAATGAGGCTCCAGAGGATGAGACATAAATTGACACACCTTGTTGACAAATAAGCTACATCAGGCTTGGTAAGAGTTGCATACTGCAGAGCACCAACCACAGACTTGTAAAGAGAAGGATCAGACATAACTGAGGCCTCAGTTCTGGTGAGTTTACAAGAGGACTGCATGAGAGTTTGAACAGGACAGCCCTCCAACATGTTAGTTTTCACTAAGAGGTCCTTAATATATTTGAACCGTGTGAGAAGTAAGGAATCAGAATTAGGTTGCTTGACCTCAACCCTAAGAAGTAGTCAAGGGAGCCAAGTTGTTTAAGAGAGAAACTTGAGTTTAGTTTGGAGATGTTGGTGTTAATGAGTGAGGCAGAATCACCTATGATGATAATATCATCCACATAAACTAACATGTAGATGGTGTGACCTCCAACACAATAAGTGAAAAGGGAAGGATCACACTTACTAGGTTTAAATTTGAGCTGGATTAGAGTAGATTACATCTTGTGAAACCACTTCCTAGGGGTTTGTTTCAGGTCATAAAGGGCCTTGTTGAGCTTGCAAACTAAGGATGGATTAGCACTTTCAAACCCCTTAGGTTGTTCCATATAAACTTCTTAAATGCCATTGAGAAAGGCATAATTGACATCTAATTGCTGAATAGGCCATTTGCGAGTAAGAGCAATGGATAAAATAAGCCTGATAGTGACATGTTTAACCACAGGAGAAAAGGTCTCTGTAAAATCAAATCCATACCTTTGATGGAATCCCTTTGCTACCAGCCTAGCTTTATACTTATTCATTGTGCCATCTGAATTTTCTTTAACCCTAAACACCCATTTGCATCCAATGGCATTCTTCTAGGGTGGAAGGGAAACAAGGGTCCAATTGTTGTTGTTAACGAGGGCATTATATACATCTTGCATAACTGCTTTCCAATTAGCATCAACAAGAGAAGACTTAACACTCTTGGATTCTGTGGTAACCAAGAGTAGTTTGGGGTCTAATCCGGGTTGAGCAAAACCAGATTTGGTCTTGGTTTGCATATGATGAGAATTATGAGGATGAGGTACTGGAACAACTTTAGGTGGAATAGGAGGTCTGGTAGTAGAAGAAATGGATGATGAAGAGATACTAGTCTGAGAGGTAGAAGAAGAAGAGGAATCTGATGAAGAATTACTGAGACTGACTTGGCCTAAAGTGGGAGTCTAAGTGTCGCACTCTAATTTTAACTCTAAGATCCCACCTCTCTGTGCATCTTCTCACATAACACCTTTAAGGCATAAGTTTTCGTGTGCGTGTTTGCCATGACTAACAAGTATATGCATGTACATTAATTTCAAATAGAGATGATACGTACTCTCACAGTTAAGTATTTCAGGGTACAACCATTCTAATTCAAGGCCTTAGTTTTTTCTACTGGGTAACTTCCCTCAGGATGCCTTAGAAGCTTCAGTATATACTTAACGAACATTAGGGCTTTTGCTTTTGATTTTGAACATAGGAATTTGAGAATTAGGGCATTAATCTCAAACTCGAGTTTGTTGGAGTCTTGGTACATTATGATCTGAGCTCTAGAATTTCAAGCCTGGTTGCAATATGGTGTTGTCTTGAGAGTATTGTTCTTTGAAGAATTTTGGGCCATTGTTAATGGTTTTCATAACATGATCATGATATAATCACCATTCAAACGTCCAAATTTGAGGGATTCGTTTGTCATAATAAGAATTCTCATGGAATTTGCTATTTGATTTCAATTTGCGATTCAATTGAATCCCAAGATCCAAGTTGTGTCCATAAAGTTCAACTAGAAATATCAAATTCAAGTTCAAGATTGCTAGAATTTTGGCATAATAACATTTCCATGAGTTTAAGTCTCATCAAATTTAAGGTGTACAAATTAACTTCAAAACTCATGTTTCTTTACCAAAGTTCAATTGGATTTGTTGTTCTTTACAATTTAAGTACAAAATTCAAGGTTCAAACAATCAAGGTCAAGATCACGTTTTGCAATGCCAACTTTCATTCAAGTTCAAACTCAAAGGTTTAAGAATATAAGGCTATGTCAAGATTGATGTATACTTAGATACACAAGTGTACAAGCTTTGATGATATTAAGTTCAATTTTGCAAAGTCGGGATGATTCTAAAACTAGTAGCAATTAAAGTGCACACGTGACTAAGTCACACAAGGAATACCAAGTGCAATTACCTTTTCAAAGGTTTCTACAAGGAAGAACAAGTTCACATGTAACTCCCAATTTTTAAAGTACATAAGACTGTATTGCCTAAAGAGTCCAAATTTACATCAAGATTCGAATCCAAGCCCATTCGACAAATACCATTCACGGAGGATCAATTTAGAAAATTACAAGCCAAAGTTAATTCAAAAAAACAAAAGGGCATTACAATGTGAATACAATAAGCAATTAATTCCAGAATTTGAATTCAAAGTCATGTTTGAGCTATAATACGAAACTTCCCCTCGACCGTATTCAACCCCTCCAGTACAGGTTTTGCAAGGAATTACATCTAGTCTTTTGAGCTTCGAATCAAATGCGACTACACCAGCAAAACCACCAAGAGGGCGATGAACTTCTCCCTGATTTATTTTAGAGTTCTACTTCCACTTTGTGAACCCAATGATTTCAAACAAAGTTCTGCAGTGCATTTCTTCAAAACCTACAACGAAAAATAAAAATAATTACACTAAACATTGTCGTCACTATGATAAAGGAATTACCAAAAGATGGTTCAACATACTTCCAGTTTTCGACATAAAAACGGACTGATTCGATATGATCTTATTCAACATTTCATCAAGTCATAGAATCCCAAGAGGAGTCCTCAATCACGACCGAATTGCTGCGTCCCATTGAAGGCACCCATAAGGTTCCTTGTTTCTGCAGACAATGAAAAACCTTGATAAGCAGTTGTACAAAAAAATAGTTCTTTTCCTAAGACGAAAACCTCGGGTTTTGGAAGTCACCATTTGTTGAGGAGGATACAACTCGGAAAGCTCCGAACTACTTACTAGAAAGACCTCACCTGCAGTACTTTGAAATCTAAGTTAACACACACTTGAACTTCCATCGCTT